ATGTTATGCCTTAAATCTGGTATCACTCAACGTGTTACGCCATATAGCTACTACTACTCAACGTGTGATGCCATAAATCTACTTTTACTCAGTATGTCATGCCCTTAATCTGGTACCACTCATCATGTCAAGTCATATATCCGCTACTACTACTTAGCTTGTGACGCCATAAATCTGCTTTCACTCAATGTGTCACGCACTCTATCTGGTACCACTCAGTGTGTCACGCCATATATCCGTTACTACTACTCAACGTGTGACGCCATAAATCTGCTTTCACTCAGCATGTCACGCCCTTTATCTAGTACCACTCAGCGTGTCACGCCCTTTATCTAGTACCACTTAGCGTGTCACGCCATATATCTGCTACTACTACTCAGTGTGTGATGCCATAAATCTGCTTTTACTAAGTGTGTCACATCCTCTATCTGGTACCACTCAATGTGTCATGCCATATACTTGCTACTACTTCGCGAGTCTATTCATTGCTCAAAACTAAATGACATTTTATTTTTATCCAGTAATGTAAGAAATTTAAAAAGAATCTAACACAATATAGAAATGGTTAAAAGGGGCAAAAAAAAAAGAAACCATTCACATACTCATAATATTGCAAGAGTAGCATACATCAAATAACAAAGGTAAAGGATAATTACCATATTTTATAAGTAATTTACCTTAACCATAGCTAGTGATAATGTGAGAAATTTTGATTAATTAAACTCCTTAAGCATTTTGATCAAACAAAGAAAATCCACTACCTTATGCCAATATGGGTTCCAGTGCAAATCAAAATATACTTAATAAAGAGAAGCAAAGTTAACACTTAAATCAATGATTTTAAGAACAAGATTAATCACCATATTTTATAAGTAATTTACCTTAACCGTAGACAGTGATAATGTGAAAGATTTTGCTTGATGAAACTCCTTAAGCATGTTGATAAAACAAAGAAAATCCATTACCTTATACCAATATGGGTTCCAATGCAAATCAAAGATTTTAAGAACAAGATCAATCACCATATTTTATAAGTAATTTACCTTAAGCATAGACAATGATAATGTGAGAGATTTGCTTGATCAAACTCATTCAGCATGTTGATCGAACAAAGAAAATCCACTACCTTATGCCAATATGGGTTCCAATGTAAATAAAAATACACTCAATTAAGAGAAGGAAGGTTAACTATATAGAACACCGTAGAACCATAATCCTCATACTTGAAATTGATTAGGCTTGGAGTTTTTTTTTTTTAATTGGGGAAGGGGGATTTAAACCTTGCTCTATAGGAAAGGATTTATGCACCAACTAATGAACCAAATACTCAGATGAAAGGTCTAGGCTTGGAGTATGAATCACAACATTGCAATCACGTGAAACACTCATTAAAAATGAAAAGTCCAAGTTTCTCAAATTAAGACCAACAATTCTGAACATTTTGATGTTAATTAATGAATATCAACGAGCTTCAAAGTTTCAAAATTTAGTTTGTCTGAAAAAATTTTGGGATCAAATATTCTTTCCTTCATCAAGAACTCATCAAGATGCAATGATTTCAGAGTTGAGAAAGCCAATGATTGGGTCGTTTATACCATCATTTAATTTGAGTGCAGTCAATGACTCACAAGTATAAAAGCTTTGAGGCAACCTAATGCACTCAAAGTAAGATGGGGTGACTTCCAATTCCAATTCTTGAACTTTATGTTCAACAACATAACATATTAACACCAATGCAACCCTACAATGGGGTTGTATTGTAAGGAAGTGTAACGAACCTTGACAAGGTTAATGGGACAACAATGAACAATGACATGTAAGACGAACTTACCAAAAGATTTTGATTTGCGTTTATCAGATGGTGAGCTTTCATATGGAAAATTTGAGTGATTGAAGTCAAAGTAAGGAAGATATTTCTAGAGAAATGTCCACCTTTTGGATAAAATAGAGAAGTTTAAACTACATATTTAGTATTTAAAAAGGACAAAATGTGATGCAAAAGTTTATCTGCTAAATTACTTAACCTGTCTTCTCCCTCTACCTCATTATTCTTCATCTTCTTCTTTACTTCTATATCTCTTTGAGTATTGGGTTTTCATGGAGTGAAGTGGACATGGCAGTTTAAGGAACAATCAGTGTTGAATTAGATTAAGACGTTCACACCTTATGCATGTAAAAATCAAGTAAGATTCTGAATGAAATCCTTTATCCTTATTTCTAGTTTTTATTTAGAAAAAATTATGAGAAATAATTCTCCTAATAAAGGTGATTTTAGAAATAATCATCAAAATAAATTTAACAATTTTTAGCCAAAATTAGCCATAAGATGACAAAAATGTCTTTAAAACTATTTCAAACAAATTAAATGTTCCCTATTTTTGTCTCCTGCCATTCATCTGTTGTACTCTCTGTTATTCTCCTTAGTCAACCAACTCTCTCTAATTTTACCACTATCACTATCTCTTTCTATCTCGTCATCTTGCCAAATCATCGTTAATTTATAAACTAAAGAGTATAACATGGAAAGTAATAACATATTCTTGGACTTATTAGTTTATATTCACAAAACCCTCTATCATCAATCTATAAACTAAAAAGCATGACATGGTGAGTAACAACAGGTTCTTGGGTTTATTGGTGTTGAGTTTTTTAGTGATTCAAATTTGATAGAATATGCCTTAGCATGTAACAAAGGGATTTATGCCTTGGCATGTAACATCAGTATGAAGAAGGAAGCTTTGGCTTGTAACATTTGGTGCTGAAGCTTGGACCTTGGCATGTAACATCTGATACCGAAGCTTTGACTTTGGCTTATAATATTTTTTGCTTTTGCTTTAGTGCATGTAACATTTAGTGTTGAAGTTTTGACCTTGACGTGCAACATTTGATACTGAAACTTTGACCTTGGCATGTAACTTCTGGTATTAAAGCTTTGATCTTGGCCTATAACATCTTTTGCTTTGGCTTTAGTGCATGTAACATGTAGTGCTGAAGTTTTGGCCTTAAAGTATAACATTTGGTGTTGAAGCTTTGACCTTCGCATATAACATTTGCTACTGAAGTTTTGGTATATAACATTTTCTGCTTTGGCCTTGGCAAGTAACATCTAGTGATAAAGGTTTGGTCTTAGCATGTAACATCTAGTGCTGAAGCTTTGACATTGGCATGTAACATTTGTTGCTGAAGTTTTGGTATGTAACATCTTCTGCTAAAGCGTGTAACATTTGCTAAAGCGTGTAACATTTGCTAAAGCGTGTAACATTTGCTTATGCTTGCAGTGTCATTTTGTTTTTCTTTTTTGTTATTAAATATGGTGTGTAACTTGCTCTCTTGTATTTCATTATAATATAAACTCTTGGAATTAAAATGCGTGACAATTTTTTTCAACTGTAACAATATTTTTTTAAACATAACATGTAATAAAAATATTTTTTAAATATAATGTGTCTTGTTCTCTATCTTTGTATTTTAGTGAGACATAAACTTTTGAAGTTAAACACTTTCACGATAAAGATAAAAGTTTAAAATCAAAAAAAGAATCTAACACGAAAATAAATATGTATTGAAAAATTATTTAACGGATGAAATGGATTTAGACAAAAAGATATTATCCAAAATCCTTTAATTTAGATAATTAGGTTTTTGTTTATTTTAATTGTTCTGTTAGTAAAAAAAAATTAAAATATACTAATATTATAAAGAAATGAGAGAAAAATCCAATCCATCAGAGCAAAATTGAAAATTAACAGATTGAAACTTAATTTTGCTAATGTTAACACACTTTTCGAGCCTCTTTACGAATAAAGTATAACTTGTCTATGATAAAGAGAATGGTAACAAAAGCAATGAAACTAATGCTCATGACAAGCACTACATTTGCAGATATCTTGAGCCTTGGCCCATTATTTGTGTAAAACTGAAGCATACTCCTAGCAACCCTTCCAGAAGTCACATTGCTTGTCGTTTTTCTCTTCCTCGTGGTTGTTGTTGCGACGACACTTACTCTTGGTGGAGCTATTCTAGTTGTTATTTTTGAGTCAACTCAAATTTCATATTGTGTAATTTGAATATAAGGAAATTTCATTAAAGATAATTTTCTTCAAAAATCTTTTCTCTTGACTAAAAATAGTTAAAATTAAAAAAATAGTTATTTTTGAAAACAGTTATTTTTTAGAGGTTAAAAAAAAATCGTCCCTATATGTCTAACTCAAATAAAATATTTTTTATATTATGAATTGATTTTAACTTAGTAAAAAAAATTAATTTTTAATTGATATTTTATGATTTAAAAAAAAATTGAATGCAAAGAGAAAAATTATCAATCAAGAAATAAAACAACTAGTTGACTTGTTAAGATCGACTACAAGGACTAGCGAAATTAGATTTGGGCATGGTCGGATTTGGATCCATTACCTTCATTTCTTATCTTTATTCATGCTCTAATTCTCAATGTGAATTGTTTTATTATTTTTAAATTATGGATTGATTTTAATTGTTAATACATAAAAAAATTAATTTTTTAATTAATATTTGTAATTTAAAAAGATAATAATTGAATGTAGAGAGAAAAATTATAGATGAAGAAATGGAACAATCAATTTGACTTGTTAAGGTTGAATATGAATAAGGGCAAGTAAAATTGAATTGACGCTTAATCAGATTTGATCTCTTTCATCAACTTCTTTTTTCTCTCCTTAAATTTAGAAAAAAAAATATCAAAATAGTGTAGTAAACAAAAAAAAGAAATTTTACAATTTGGGTTTAAAAAAAATCTAAATCACAAAAGAATTTTACTTGATTAAATTTAGAAACTTGTTTAATATTTCAAAAACTCTTGTGGACGAAAATTACAGTTTGGCTAAACTTTAGGGATAAAAGTGCAATTTAACCGCAATTCAACGAACATGAAACGACGCAGTTTTTTCTTTTTCCTTTTCTTTGGTTTTTTCTGGTATAAATGATAAACCCTACTGGAAACGAGGGAAAACCTTAAACCCCAACCAGCAAACCTGAAGATGGAGAAAACCCAAAAATCGAGCAAAGAAAAAGAAGAAAAAATGAGTGAAAAATCAAACAGCAAAGGGTCAGAGATATTTGCTTCGTGTTCCTTCTCTAGCCTCGGCCTCCATTCCACTTTGTGTGACCAACTCCGAGGTTAGTTTTGTTTTTGTTTCTGTTTTAAGTTTTATAGACATGTAAATGTAATTATCTTAATATTTCGATACCCAATGTGATGAATTTTTATTTATTCTTTAACAGAAAGGCTGGGTTTTGAAGCTCCAACTCTTGTTCAAGCTCAAGCTATTCCTGTTATACTCTCTGGTCGACATGTGTATCCTTTGTACTTTACCATTGTTTTTCATCATTTTTTAATGCAAGAATTTTTTTTTCCATCATTGGGTTTGTTGTTTTAAGCATTTTTAATGCCAATTTTCTTTTTTTCATAATTGGGCCTTTTCTTGTTTGCATTTTTTCTATGCAAGTTTTCATGTTTGTGTAATTGAGTTGTTTTGTTTAGCATTTTCCCCTATGCAAGTTCCTATCTTTTTTTCACAATTGGTTTGTTGTTGTTAGTATTTTTAATGCAAGTTTCTTTTTTATATTTAAATGCCTTTGGTCATTGTTTCTAGCATTTTAATATTTTTCAATGCAAGGTTTTTTCCTTCCATAGCATTTTTTAAGTGCAACTTTTCTGGTTCTGTATTGGGTTTTGGGGTCCTTGATTGGAGATTGTACTAGACTTGTTAATGCAGAAACGGGGTCTGGCAAAACAATAGCGTATTTGGCTCCTATTGTTCATCACTTGCAGGGTTATAGTCCTCAAATTGAGCGCTCTCATGGTACTTTTGGTATGTGTTTTATGTTTTTAATGGGATGTTTAGCTATGTTTATTATTTTTATAAGTTCAGAATGTTGTTTTCATTGCTACAGCTATATGCAATTTTATTGTCCAGTTATAGTACACCGAAATTGGGTCTGCCCGGGGGATTTTTTTGGGGTGGGTGGGGGGGGGGGGGGTGTGGTGTGATGAGAATTCAGTCCTACTCAGAACTTTTACCACAAAATGGTTGCTATGAAAGGCTAAGTTCATGTCCTTGTACATGTTGAATTGCACCACACAATGGCATATGGTTTTTCCATGTGCTTAAGAATGAAAAAGTTAAACATATTTCTCTCTTTTTGCTTAGTCATGAATTAATTAATTTGAAATGTTTGTCATAGCGTTGGTCCTTGTACCAACGCGTGAGTTATGCATGCAGGTGTATGAGATTCTGCAGAAGTTATTGCATCGTTTCCATTGGATTGTTCCTGGTTATGTAATGGGTGGTGAAAACAGGAATAAAGAGAAAGCCAGGCTGCGTAAAGGTACAATTTCTGTTTTTGGGTGAAGTTCTCAATTGCATAGAGCATGTAATTGCAGGATCCCACCAGTTCGATTTGGTGGACCTATGAAAGTATGTCTAATGTCATTCCTTTGAGTGGCTATATCAACAATTGTTGTTGTTTGAAGGATAGCATTTGTACCAATATAAAAGCATTAGACAAATACATAATACATTCCTTTTGATAATTACTCCACCCATGATATTTTAAAGCTGGTTCTAGTTATTGAATTGACTTTTACCCTTTTCCCATCAATTTTATTTGTTAGTGAATTGGATTAGACAGAGTATTGGCCACTGTTCACCTGTTTTCTTATTTTGCTGCTTATCTTCTTTAAAGAGAATCAAAGAAAAATTAAAAATCAGTTTAACACAATACAATCATGTACTTGCAAGTCAGGTATTGAAGTATGTAATCTCCATTATGATCAATTTTTATGTATATATTTCCTCTTTAAACTTATGCTCGCGAATGTTTCATATGGTTCATTTCAGGCATTTCTATTCTTATTGCAACTCCTGGGCGCCTGTTGGATCACTTAAAACATACATCATCTTTTGTGCACACAAGATTGCGTTGGATAATCTTTGATGAAGCGGACAGGTGTATGTACTATCTAAAGTTTCGTTATGAGTGGATCTATCTCTTTCTGTTTCTTTAAACCTCCACTGAATCTGCATGCATATCTTGACAGAATTCTGGAATTAGGATTTGGAAAAGATATTGAAGAGATATTGGATCTTTTGGGTTCTAGGGCAAATGAATCTGCTCACAAGGGAAAATCCTCTGAATTTCAAAGACAGAATTTGCTATTATCAGCTACATTAAATGAAAAAGTAAATCATCTTGCCAAAATCAGTTTAGAAAATCCTGTTATGATTGGTCTTGACAACACAAAGATGCAAAATCCATCACTTGATCAAACTAGATCTTTGGGATCTGATGAGGATGAAGAACTTGATAACTCAAGCAAGTTAGTAAGTTCTTCAAGTGGAGACTATAAGCTTCCAGCTCAATTGTTTCAGAGATATGTTAAAGGTGTACAGTTAATCTCTCTCTCTCTCTCCCTCATTTGGTGACCTTTCAAAGCTTGATATAACTACCTTAATTAAAACTGTATGCAGTACCCTGCAGTTCCCGGCTTGCCATGCTTCTTTCCTTTCTGAAGCATCTTTTTGAGAGAGAAGCTTCCCAAAAGGTAAGGCTATATTATAATCTTGGAATTTCTTGATATTTCCTGGTCATCCTTAGGATGTTCTTCACCGCTTCAAATTGGCAGCAGAAGATATCAGTTTTCACACATCAAATTTTGTGTCAATTGTTTTTTTCATTTAAATTGTTGTTACAATCACTGGAGCCTCGAAGGCTCTTTGCCCTGCAATTTCCTGAGAAATACTTTGTTGAATCAGATAATAAGGTTACTATTTGTGATATTTATCACATTCTAATTTTCTAGTATGAGGTGTGACATCATGTAAAATGATTCCCATTGTTTAAGCATCCTCCTGTTTTGTCTTTGTACTTGAGATTCTTTCTGATAGCTGTACCAGACATAGCAATATTTTTTTGCCTCCTTTAATCTGTATTTTCCAGAATAATTGCAAATACAGTGTGGAACTTTGGGTGCTTCCTGCCTATACTGTTTAAATACCTTTCTGTGAGTTTACCTTGTTCAAGTGTAAGGGATTTATTCATTGCCTCTGTTGTCTCCTAGCTTGTTTACTGAAAGTTAGTTTTTGTAACATATATGTACTATTATATCCTGGTCAACTTCTTGACTCAAATGATCATTTTACAGATTGTGGTATTCTTTTCAACATGTGATGCAGTAGATTTTCACTATTCACTGTTGAGTGAATTCCAGTGGTCACCCTACTCGCAATTTGAAGCAGAACTTAAGCAGAAGTTTCTGAAATGCAAAACTTTTCGGTTACATGGGAATATGAAGCAGGAAGATAGACGAACCACCTTTAGCGCCTTTAAAACAGCAAAGTCAGCTCTTCTTGTGTCTACAGATGTTGCTGCAAGGGGCTTGGATTTTCCGAAAGTTAGATGTATCATACAGTATGATTCTCCAGGGGAGGCTACAGAATATGTACATAGGTATTTACAAACTTACTTCTCTTGGAAATATTTATCTGTTCAGTTAGCAACAATTTTTACTTCGCAACTGTTTTGGTGTATTCTAATGAATTTTGACTGGTATCTTACTTTCTGATGCATAATTGCCTATTCACAAATCTTTGCTTACTATTTGAACTGATTCTAAGTGCTCATTTATGCACATTTCTTCAGAAAAAGAGCATTATAATTAGATTCTCGCTCTGGATGCTTCTGGTTGAACAGATTTCCAAGTGCTCATTTGTGAATGTCTCTTTTTGACTTAAAAAACTTTCTGTGCTATATATTTTGGTTAACAATCTAATTATGTTCTTTAATGGATGGTTTACTTTAGCATATGCAATTCATTACCATGTATCTAGCTTGTTAAGCATGTCTAAATTAGCAGATAGATGTCCCAGCCCTTATGTCCAAATCCTTGTTGAACTAATGTATATAGTCCATTAGAGTTTGATGCTACCTTTAATCTTTGATACAGAGTAGGTAGGACTGCTCGGCTGGGTGAAAGAGGAGAATCCTTACTATTTCTACAGCCAATAGAAGTGGATTACTTGCAAGACCTTGAGAAACATGGTGTGTCACTGACAGAGTATCCACTCGTCAAAATATTAGATTCTTTCCCATTGCATGGTCAAACGCACCGTGTCAAGAAGTTTGTTTCATTAGAATCACATCCCTGGGTGGTATCACTTCAGAAGGAACTTGAATCATATATTTTGTCTGGGGTATGACTTGTTCATAGTGATCTTATTTAGCCCTTATATTTTCTGAACTCTTTTTGTGTACCTTTTGTCCATGGCTTCTTCTCTAGAGTTATTGACTGTCTTCCTCACTACCTTTGAAATTGTTTGATTTTGAAAAAGGGTTATTAGATCCGCACTTCTTATCTCATCTGTGCCTATTTTGACTGTCTCTGGTATAAATAATTGTTTGATTTTGCTCATTTTCCTTTTTTAAACTGTGTTAAAATTTTGTCTTTGATTTATTATAGGAAAAGAAAGGAAATGAGGTCATCTTTAATTAGCTAGTTTTGCTCTTGCTGACACTGTGAGAGGGACGTACTGCAGTTGTTTGAAAACAAAAGTATCTGGTCCAACGCTGTACTTGTCTGAAAAAAGAAAGTGCGTGTCAAGTTGATTTACCTAAACTATGGTGTTGAGCTCCAAATGGTTTGCTATGAATGAAAGATGCTTTGAATTTGGATCCCTAAGTGGGAAATAACTTCTCGATTGGAGCACACTTTTCTGAAAGATGGTCCATCGAGAATAATGGCATCCTACACAGTGGACAACCATTTAAAAAGAGTGCTTGAATCTAGCAGTTATATCTATTCAGAAATCAAGATGCACTTTTATTCATAGCATATCATGCTAGATTTCAGGACAAATGACTTTATAATTTCGTGTCGTGATATAAATGCCATTAACTCGACAAGGCTATGATGACAGTATGAGCCTAATTAGGTGATTCTTGTAGTCTTTTTTATTCATCTGGATAACTTTAAGCTAGTTTTTCCCAAATATTGAATGTTCTTGACATAATTTTCTGGTGTGTTGGTCAAGCCTGTGAAATAGAGCCTTGTTTGTTCAGAGATGTTTGTTTTTCCATAGTGAGCTTCAATGAATGAGGTGTGACCTAGTTATTTCTTGAGATAAATCATTGCCTGTCTTAATTTCAGGATATTCTTTCTGTTTTCTTCTCCTCAAGTTCCACACGTTTAGCAGATGTAACAATAATTATTTTTTTAAATAATTCTTAGCTTTACTTTTGTGTGCTCCAAAATAAAGTTTTCCCCGGTACTGTTTTGCAGCCAAAGATCAAGAAACTAGCGAAGAATGCATTTTGCTCTTGGGTCCGTGCATACACAGCCCATCGTGGAGATCTTAAAAGAATTTTCATGGTGAAGAAACTTCACTTGGGGCATGTTGCAAAAAGTTTTGCATTGAAAGAGCAGCCATCCTTGGTTGGAAAATCATTCCAAAATCAGTCGAAAAAGAGGAAGAGGGATCAGAGGCAGATGGGACTTCACAAAAAGAGGAAAATTGCCAGTAAAACAGGAATTTAACATGAGAAATCTGATTGTGAAATTGGTTAGAGGCTGATGGTAAAGGTAGTAAGTTATGTAACAAATGGTGGATATACAAGCTGTCATCATTAGAGCATATTCCTATCTCTGACCTTCACCACCTTGTATGAAACTGATGAAGTGCTTGTATTATTGTTCTTTTAATTGTCATGTAATTCCTTCACATAGCATCATCATTTCTAGATCTTGTTCAAAGTAATAGGATGATCATTTACAAAGAAGTTTTTCAAGGAAATTTGGTCCTTGAACTGAGTCAACTTATCTGCCACCTTAGTCTCAGGACAAGGTGACTTCACATCACATCAATCCCTTGTTCTTCCGTCTTCATTTGCTTGCAGCAATGTTTCCCCTTGTCAAGGAGGGAACAAGGCCAGGGTAAATGAAGTCAGTATTTCTTATGACATGACGTGTCACGTCACTAGTCACAATAAGAATTTCAATGCCAATGCATCATATCAGATTTTACATATACAAGTAATGATCATGTTACAAACAAAATAATCATTCAATGAAATAAAATAAGATCTTCAAAAAAAAAATTAAAAGAACAAAAAATTAATTAAATACCAGTAAAAGTAATAATCTCAATTGAATAAAATAAAAAAATAAGAATTCAATTGGATAAAATAAAAATTAATCGGGTATAATATAAATGAAAGCTGGATTACAGGGTTTTTTAATTATTATTTAAGCCTTTGATTTCTATTCCTAGATGGTATTAAAAAAAATAAAAATCAATAATAAAATGTATATTAATCCTATTAAATAAAAAATGAAGAAACAATTAAAATGGACTAGGCATGCAAATATAATTGTGGTTCTTCGCCTATGGGACTTTGGGTAGTTTAAGCAGTTACTAAGCTAGCATTCTGTTGTTGATTTCTCATGCAGAGAGCTGCAACGATGCAGAAATGCGTCCAACTCTACGCCTTTCACGCCAGCTTTCTAATTATGAAAGCTCCCATCTTTCCCCAGCCTTGCTTAACTCCAGCATCAAAGCCTTTATTCAACAAGGCCAATACACTAAAGCCTTGCAACTGTACTCTGTTTCCCCACTTACAGCAACAAAATTCACTTTCCCCTCTCTTCTTAAAGCTTCCACTTTCGTCTCTAACCTTACCTATGGCAAAACCCTCCATTCCACAATCATCCAATTGGGTCTTCAGTTTGACCCTTTTATCACTACTTCACTTATAAATATGTATGTAAAATGTGGGTCATTTTCTAATGCAGTTAATGTGTTTGAAAAAATGGTTGACACAGAAGTTTTCGTTGAAGATGTCACCTTTTGGAATTCTTTGCTCGATGGGTTTTTTAAGTTTGGTCTAATTAAGGAGGGTTTGGCTCATTTTTACAGGATGCGGGCGTCTGGGGTACTTCCTGACGCTTACTCACTCTCTATTCTTCTCAGTGTTTTGGGGTACGAAGAAGGAAAGCAAATTCATGGTTACATTGTTAGGAACGTGTTTAAGAGTGACCCATTTTTGGAAACTGCATTGATTGATATGTATTTGAGTTGTAGTCGAATAATGGAGGCTTGGTGTATATTTGATCATTTGGAAGATACGAGCAATGTGGTGGTCTGGAATGTGATGATTGGTGGGTTTTTCGAGAATGGATTGTGGGAGTGGAGCTTAAAGTTGTATTCCTTAGTGAAATGTGAGAATGTCAAGCTTGTGTCGGAGTCGTTTACTTGTACCTTGAGTGCATGTGGGTATGGTGATGTTGTGGGTTTTGGGAGGCAAGTTCATTGTGATTTGATTAAATTGGGATTTGAAAATAACCCTTTTGTTTATACTTCGCTTTTGACCATGTATGGAAAATGCCAATTTGTTGAAGATGCAGAAAAGGTTTTCTATCAGGTATTGGATAAAGGAATTGAAGTATGGAATGCCATGATATCAGCTTTCGCTTGTAATGGATATTCTTATGCTGCTTTTGAAGTTTACAACAAGATGAGATATAATGTAATAACCCCTGATTCTTTTACAATGTCTAACGTTTTATCATGTAGCAGTATGATTGGAATATATAATGTTGGGAGGTCAGTTCATGCAGAATTAGTCAAAAGACCTATAGAGAGTAGTGCTTCCGTACAGAGTGCGCTAGTGACCATGTACTGCAAGTGTGGGAGTGCTTATGATGGTAATTCACTTCTTGGCGCAATGAGGGAAAAGGACGTGGTTGCTTGGGGATCCATGATATCAGGTTTTTGTCAAAATAGGAAATTCAAAGAAGCTTTAGATTATTTTAGAGGAATGGATGCAGATGGGGTAAGGCCAGATTCTGATATTATGTCAAGTGTCATTAATGCTTGTACAGGACTGGAGAATGTAGATTTGGGGTGCATGATCCATGGATATGTTATTAAAAGTGGTTTGAAGGCAGATGTTTTTGTGGCCACTTCCCTTGTTGATATGTATTCAAAATGTGGTTTCCCAGATATGGCTGAAAATTTGTTCTTCGATATGCCACATAAAAATCTTGTTGCTTGGAATTCCATCATGTCATGCTATTGCCGAAATGGTCTACCTGACCAGTCGATAAAGCTTTTTTCTATAATAGTTCAGCATGATTTTTGTCCAGACTCTGTGTCCGTCACAACTGTTCTTGCTGCAGTTTCATCCATAGCAGCTTTACTTAACGGAAAGATAATCCATGGATATCTTATTAGAGTAGAGGTTCAATCTGATATTCAGCTGGAGAATGCATTGATCGATATGTATATTAAGTGCGGATTCTTAAAATATGCAGAGTATATATTTCAGAACATGTCTCAGAAAGATGTTGTTTCATGGAATTGCATGCTTGCTGGTTATGGATCTCATGGGGATTGCCTTCGAGCATTGTCATTATTTGATGAGATGAAGAACTGTGGAATAACACCTGATGATGTGACTTTTCTTTCCCTGATTTCATCGTGCAATCATGCTGGTTTGGTTGATGAAGGCCAATATATATTTCAATCCATGACAGTGGAGCATGGGATTGAACCTAAAATGGAGCATTATGTAAACATTGTTGATCTCCTGGGCCGCGCCGGACGCTTGGACGATGCTTATAATTTTGTAAAAATCATGCCTATGGAACCTAACAGGAGTGTTTGGTTGAGTTTATTGTGTGCCTGCCGAGCCTATTCTAATGTGGAGCTTGGTGAATTGGCAGCTCATAACTTGCTGAAAGTGGAACCAAGCAGGGGCAGCAATTATGTTCAACTGTTACATTTGTATGGAGAAGCTGGATTACGGGACAAGGCTGCAAACATACGAGCAACAATGAAAGAAAGGGGATTGAAGAAAAACCCTGGATGTAGTTGGATTGAACTGAGGAATAAGGTTGATGTTTTTTTCTCAGGAGATTCATCCTCCCTGAGAACAATGGAGATCTATGAGATATTACACAGCCTTGGCAGGAATATGGAAAAGAAAGAAGGTGATTATGAAATTGAGATATTTCTTTAACTTTTAATCTTATTGCATCAATAACAACCTAGTTATTTTGAAGATCAGTAGACAACAGAGTATGTGTGTATGATCTGAATTTTAATATCTTTTATGATCAAAACAGAGCACAAGAGTCTCTCCACTTATTGTATTACAACAATTTTGCGAAAATGATGGGTACAATATGAAATTGAGCCAAATTGAATCCATTCCATGGAGTAAAGATGTTAAACCTCATCAGGAGATAAAACTAAAGTTACATTGAACAAAGAATGTCCAGTATGAATCCTGTTTCCAGGATTGATTCACAAAGGCTCTACCCAGATGTAATAGCCTTAAGTGCCTAAACAATGTGCAATGTATCTTTTCTGACTATATTTGAATAGGGGGGTGACTTTGCTCTTAATCCCAATAACAACCTTTATTCATCCCCCTTACAACCTTTTTCCATGAACAAAAACGTATGAGAGTAATCATATGCGAAGAAGCGAGGGGGCAAATTGTGTGTATGCATGCTAGATGATCTTTAATTTCATTTTGGGACATAGGAAGAAGAAGTGCTCACTATTCTCTTTTATCTTCCTCAAGCTCTTCCACAAGCCCAAATAAATCCGCAGTTGACACCTTCCTTTCCTTCCTTTCTGGCTTGGTTGCTGATTCTCCTGCCAATATAACACTCGTGCCAGTGAGTGAGATACCCTCCTCTTCAACGTCATCCCCTGTTTCCTCAGAATATGCATATCTGCACACCACATAACAAATCAACTATCTTGATTAAAGGTGGTTAGAAAGGAAAGTAAATAATATATGCTGCAAGAAATTGTTCTAAAGTCCTTAAATATCCATATTCAGTAATGTGTTTAGTTTCTCAAAAGAATTAAAAAATGTAATGTACTAAAGGCCAATCTGTCAAGTAGCAGAGCCAACCCGCAAGTATAGAGTAGAGTAACTGAAGCCTGACCTTGTAGAGTTCTAAAGCCTATGATGCTGATATTCTAGATGCAAAGAGGGGCTCAAGAGATTTCTAAGACATTACCCTAAAGCATTTTAAGTAAACCTGACTAGCTCACTTAAATCCCAGATTCCACGTAATTGGCCTAGGAAAGCACAAAACCGCTCACGGTTAATAAAGCAATTAAGCAACCCTGAGAGTGGTTCAAACTTCACAATTCTAAAGACCTCCCATTTTTTCCAGACTTGTACATGTAATTACTCATTAAAGCTAATACTTGTCCTTTCAGCATGCACACCTAACACGAAGATGTTCACACTTCAAAGAGACAACCAAGATCTGTGCCACTGTGAATAATAACTAGTTTTTTTTTTTTAAAAAAAAGACATGATTCAAGATGAAAATAATATCTGCCACCAAATGTGACAAGCATTGTTTCATATAAATATAATAAAAGCATCCACAATTCATTTATCAGATCTCTAGCTCATTCGTCCTTTTAAACAATACATGTAAATAATTCTTCTTATCATTTTTCCCCTTTTTGAAAGGTAACAATTCTTCTTATCATAAGAAATGCATTTAAATTTCTCATTGCCAACAAAAATATCACCTAAGTGAAGTTAAGCAAGTAGCGCTAAGTGACAAGTTCCAGCAATTACCTAGTTGGATTGTTTGATGGAGCCCATAGAATGCATATCACTATCAAAAGTACAAATGCGAGCAGATTCCAGAAAGCTGGGATTACCCAGGCTCTTTGCCACAGTTCACTTAATGGGTCGGCTGCATTAAAATACAACTGAAACAACATGTATCAGAAGCTTGATTAAATGCCTACAACTCCTACAATAATGAGAATATATTCTGACATTCATTTGAATGTTCAGAGCATATACAAATGACTGTTAGAAGGAGCTGAGAATTGGGGAATTTCAGATTCATATAGTCCAAGATGTACTAGCTTCCTTCGAATCGGTAGGCGGACATAAAACAAGCGAGAAAACTTATACAAAGAAGGAGAAATGTATTAAACAACCTCATAACCAATCCAAGCAATGGAGAGCAGCACAGATATTGCTAGTGAATTGGTAAACTTCCGGTAGAGCGCAAACTTGGCCATGCTCCTTCTAATCTGTTAGAAAAAAAGGGGGGAGCGGGGGTGGGGGAGAATCATTAAGTGTTAAATCAATCAAATGGAAAACAAAATGTACTGGATTCAGAAATGCAAGCTGCTGAATCATTCCTACGTCCACTGGGTTTTCAACTACTGCTTAAAACAAGTAAGGACTAAATTAACAAGCATCAAGATGCAGAATGGATTCAAACTATGGGAAGGCACATCAAATTCTATAGAAAAATGATTATTGTGCAGCTGAGAAGGCTTTAGTAATTTAAGTCTACAGTTTATAGCACTGTGCAACCAAGGTTCACGTGCCATGTCTGAGAAAGATGAGAAATCTGCTCAGATACAGTGTATTTCTAATAACCACAAGACATATAATTATTCACTTTCATAGAGCCAAAAGGGGCAGTCCAGGCTAAGGTCTACAAGTTGATAACACGGAAAAGATAAGCATGGCACTACCTGAAGCTTTTCTAGTGTTTGGGACAATGCAGAAAAGATCCAAACTATGAAGCATGCATCCAACAGAGAAACGGGTAGAACCAGATATATCCTTGCTTTTCCAGTTAAGTCATCGATATTCCCTAGATTTTCAACCAGCCCAAGTGCTTCTGAAAAGACAAAGTATGTAAGACCAAGAAAGAGAACTTTGAAGGTTATACCTCCTAGGGTTGGCCGCACAACACCATAGCCCATGGAAACCACTAAAAGAAGTAGACGGGAGACAGTCTTCTTTATAGCACTAAAGGTAACTGCCCAAAGTGTGATTCCCATTGGTCTGCTTCCAGTTGCATTAAAATTTGCAAATTCAAAGTACCATAGAGCCATTTCACACATTCCCAGACCAATCACTGCTGTAATGTGATAGTGCAGTTGGATTATATCTTTCCAGTATTGAACAAACCACAAAAACCAGACAACACCTAGAACAAGGTATGCGAGAGACATTAATCCAAAATATGTCATTAGTGGTGCCATCTTTCCTGGAAGATAACCTTCTGGATTTCTCCAGACAGTTCTTCCACTGATCAGCGTGCCTGTGAGTTCTGGATCACAAAACATGAAATACAAATAGTACATTCCAGTACGATTGATCTCAACGGTTTGAAGCACCATACTAGCCTCTTCATTTTTTCCTTCAAAGAAGGTTTGTATTCGTTGTGGACTGTTAGGGTTATTTGGATCTTGGTGGATGATCACCTCCCCTAACTTGCAGGATCTGTCCTTAGAAAGATCTGGAGTGCAGCATATTGCGGCAGAATGTAAATAAGAACCTCCAATTTTCTGCCTGTCTTTTACATCAACTATTATAGCTTCAACCAATCCCGTTTTTTGCTGCATCTCATTCTTCTTTTCAGCAGAATCTTTTGTTCTTCGAAATGTGATCAACTCAAACCTGAAAATGATATGGCATCAAAGATACAATAGAAGTTGCAGAATGGTTTTAATTTGTATCTTGAGAAATGAAAATATATTAGTTATTTTGACACTCTGCCTTAGAGACTGGAATGAAATGATGGTGTGCCTAAATATCCAAATTCACAACATAGTGTCCTGAGCATATGATAGATGGACTCATTTATACAAAAATCGAACAGAAAAAAATTTGTAAGTTCCAAAAGAAGATAATAGTGCTCAAGTACTCCTGAACAACAAAGGAAGATTTGATTTCCAAATCAATTGACACCTAGACTGAAAGTCTGTAAGCATCAAATATAACAATGTCCTATAATTATAGTAGAGAAAGGTTTGGCCCAATTTTTCAATAATTGCAACGTTGATGCTCATGCCTAACCTACACAGATATCACCAAATGAAACATTTTCCGAATGCACACTGTGAAGTTCAATAAGGCATGAGATAATTTTGACACTGTAAAATTCTTGCTGGCACTCATTCAGTAAAACATAACAGAAGTACATTTCCTTTCTCCTGTCACAGTCACAAAAGAAAACAGAGGAAACAGATAATGGTCCCCTTGCAATGATCCACAGTTTTCAAACCCAACATGAACAAAATCATTAGAAAACAAATGATGAAGCCATGACAAAAACATGCAACTGTTTATGAGGTGGGTTTTCTAACCCAAACAGTGCATGAAAGCTAGCACATTGTCGGTTTACATCACCCAACTACATAACTGATGATAATTTTTATCCATCAAAAAACAAAAACAAATCTAATCATGAAAAAAGCGGTGCCCATTAGTTAAAGCGAACCCAAAAATAATCACAAAGGAAAACAAAATAAAAGCCCACAAAAATTGATGACATTGTTAACATTGTTGAAAATCAGATTACAAAGTATTAGACTGAGAATCATCAAACTAAAGCTAACCCTACAATGAATCATGTTCCAATCAAACAAGTGAAGAAAAGATGAAACTTGGAAAGGAAAACAGATAAAAAAGAAAAAAGAAAGTTCGCCAGAAAATGAAACAGATCAAAGAAAGGAAAAAATTTTCATTGATGGAAAAAAAAAACAGAAAAGAGGAAGAAAAGCTATGATGACCTGATAAAAGACTTGCCATTGGAGTGGTTTTCTTCAGAAGAAGAAGAACCCTTTCTGTGAGGATCAATGTGGAGCTTTGAAGCATAAAGGCCTTCACTTCCACCATGGAAGAAGAAAGAATTGGAACGGCGGATAAAGCTTTCATTTTGATATTCATGGATGGAACCACCCACTTGGCTTATCAAAAAGCAGCTCCAATATATTATTACTACAAATGTCAGTTTCTGAAAACACCCATTTCCAATCAGATCCTTAGAAAAGCAAATGCATTCTCTGTTGTTGCCCATCCTCTCTCTCTCTCTCTCTTTCCTCTGTTTTGAGCTCTGTTCTGTGTTCTGTTTTATAAAGAAATGGCTTTTTTGTGGGAGAAGATGTGACTTATTTGTATTAGTGAGTGTGAACAAAATGACAAGATTGACTCCAATTTTATAGTGCAGCACATGTTCATGTTTCATGTTTGACATTCTTCTAAGCTGAGTTTGATTTTATTAATACCTTAGTAAACTCTGTGATTACATATTTTTGATTTCATGTAAAAGATTGTGACCCCTTTGGACAAATTTCATCCATGACTCTTAGCTTGTAATTATTTTGGTTTTACCTTAATTTTTAATGTTTGAATTCTTCCAAAAGTAAATCTTTTACTTCTTTAAGAAATTTTAATTTATTTTATTATTAAATTATTCCATTATTGATTAAAAAAATATACACAATATGTTAATAAAATATTTACATGACATGTTAACGATATAATTTAATAAACAAAGTAAAAGAAAATTATTTTTTAAAAGGTTAAAGATCCAAGTCTATTACTTTTTGCCTTAATAGATTTTGGGGTTTTTTTTTTTAAATCAAATTTGGATTTTGGGAGCCAACTTTGTTTGAAAGAATGTGAAAATTGCTGAGGCCTATTTGTTAATAGCAAATTACATTGAACTAAAATACATTAAAACCCCAAACTCTTGGACCCTATCAAAGAAAACGACCTTTTAACCAAATTTTATTAGTTTTGTTTGAAAGATTGTGAAAATTTCTGAGGCCTATTTGCTAATAGTAAACTATATTGAGGCAAAAACAAAATCATATAAACTAAAGGGGCTTTCATGCAATACAATAAAAATCTTCGGATATTCCACTGGTCTGAGCTCCCCTGTTTTTGACGCTGTTGACATTGAAATGATGTTTCATAGTTGTCTGATTCAGTTCTTCGTTTTCAACTGATTAATCCAGGAAAACCCAGAAGAATAAAACAAATGAAAATGATAGAATTAATAGGTAGGAGGCGTTTAGATGCATTCATCTCCATATTCGTTACAGTGCGCCCTCATGAGATCCCTGCTCTGCTCCACTCTTCTTCTTGTTTCTTCTTTGTAAGTCATAATTACGTAGAATTATGAATTCAGTTTTACTAAAAAATCATATTATTAATCTGGGTCTGTTTTATTTTTATTTTTTTTTCAGATTTTGTGCGCGTATTTTGTGGTGCTGCCATTGAGAGACGAAGGGGCAATTTCCTTGGGATTATCTAATTTGCCTGGATTGTTTATTGGGTCTTTACTTTTGACTTTGATAGCTGCTCCTGTTTCAACTCTCATCTTCTCTTTGCCTAATCTTTCCAAAGTCAAGGTATATATCAATTTACTTCGTAATTCTTTTTTTTTTTTATGCTTTTTGTTCTTGGATTTTGGAATTTAAGTGAAAAGTTGAAAATGGGCAGTCTTTAGATATAGAAAGTTTAGAGATGGGTTGTAAAGTTTAGCTCTTTTGTTGTTTATAATGTAGAAATTATATTTAGTTGTTGATTTTGCCACTTGCTTTTTGTTTCTGAGTGTGAAAAGTAAAAAGGGCGATTGAATATAAAAGTGAATGATAGTATTGAAGAATCAAAAGTTAAAATTCTCAATTTCATAAACAACAAAATGCTGAATTTTACTTTAAACCAAAATGCTCGAATTTTGGTTAATCTTTGCTTAGATTATGTAACAAGCTATGAGTTACGACTTGGTTATTGTCCAGTAGAGTGGAGTTCTGGGAGGGATGGGTTGCAACGTTTAGCTCTTTTGATATTGTAGTTGATAATGTGGCCATTCAGTTTGGAATCATACTGCATGTAAAGAGTAAATTACCTTGTTAGGGTTCCAGAGGTGGGATCCTGGGAGGGATGAAATGGAAAGTTTAGCACTCTTGCTTTTTGTTTTTTGTTGATAGAGTAGCATTTGCAAGAATTTGTTTATTTATTTTTATATATCTATATGTTGGGTTAAAGAGTGGAAGGCAACTCTCTTCCCCCACTCACATAAATGGATAAGAGAATACCACACACGTGATCATTGGTAGAAACCATGTTCTTATGTGTGTTGATGCACGGCCTTCAGCATTGAACCAAAGAGTGGTGGAAATGATTTTCTGATCCACATTTTGTATATGCTAGTTTATGCAATTTTATCATGTTATGCTGTATCTCTTTTTCATGTGGTTTTAATCAAAAACTACTTTCAAAGAACATGCCAACAAAGCGATGCAACATTGTGCTTTATTGGCATTGTTTGTGGCTTGTGTTATTAAGTCAATGTTTCAATTTTCATTAAAATCTATCTATAGTTTGTAAATAATTAAGTTTGAGATCTGTAGTTTCAGTGATCCGTGCCCGACTGTGTGTTTCACTTTGTCATTTTATCCCTTTAAAATCACCAAAAATTCTTTGAGGTCCATAACCATTTCTGACCAGTAATATTCTTCATGTTTTGTTACATATCATCCTATAATTCGTGCTTCTTGAAATTTCAGGCTTTGGTTTTGATACACAGGTTTTTTAGTGTATCACTTGTTGTGTTCTTCATTCTATGGCATACTTCATCAACGGATTCATTGCGATCCCAGTCAAAGGTAAATGAAAAGGCCCATGAGGTGGTGTTCCTTCTCATGTATGATCCTTGTTTGTGATCAGAAAATTGATTTTTTATATCATTTTGTAGTGACGTGTGGTGCAAATCATTTGTAGGATTCAGTTGCCTTTTCCACTGAACTAAAAGTCAACATTGATCAAGCCAGCCCTGTTGATTCCATAGGTTGGGGAAACCATGGTTGGTTTTATGTTTCAGTGAGAATTGGATTGTTCCTTTGGGTATGAAATCTATTTGTGATTAGTTTTGGCTACAAACTGTTATCTAGTATTTTTCATTTTTAATAATGGGATTTTTCTCCTTGTTTATTGGAAGGTTGCCCTGCTTAACCTTATTACCATCTCTTCAACTTGGGCTAGAGTAATTGATGTCATGGATAATGAGGTATTGATGCTTTCAACACTTCTCTATGAAGATAATGATTTCCAGTGTGCCCTCAAATTCTGTTTTGGGTTCAGTCAGGTTCAAGATTGTTTGGTTTCATTGGTGCTGGTGCAACGCTTGGCCAGCTTTTTGGGTCTTTGTTTGCCTCAGGAATGGCCTGGCTGGGGTCATGTATGTATCCCCAGTTGATTATCTGCATGTTGGATTGTCAATATTTGGTCTTTTAGTAGTTTTTCTTTTCTTTTACCTTGTTCTGTTTAATTGCAGTTCTACTCCTATTTGCTGCCATTTTGATGGAACTAGCGGCACAGTCATCAAAAGGGATCAGCAAGGATATAGCGCATCTCCCTGAAGAGTTATCTCCTATCAGGTTAGCTGAACTCAATATGGTTGTTTCTGCAGTTAATATGTGAAGGACTGCAATAGTGCATCTGATTGGATTTTTTTTTTGGGGGGGGGTGGGGTGTGGGGGGCGTGTGGCGGGTTGTGGGTGGGGCGTGGTGTGTGTGGGATGGGGGAAAGGGGGGAATTCATGGGAGTTGGAATTTGTTATATGAAGAGGATGGGAGTAAGAAAGACCTTGACATATGTGAACTATGAAATGTATTACCTCTATTGAACAATTGTTGGAATTCTGCCTATATTACTTATTCACATCAAGCATGTGATGAGAGATGGCTTATCAAACAATGTCTCAGCTTAATATGTCGAGTAATACTATTTAATGGGGGTAGTAGGTGTATGATTTGTGGATGCCATGCTGATTGTTCAATATTAAAAGAAGAATCACTACACCAATTAAAGTGACTAAATTTCATTCATCTTACCTTATCATGATTTGCACCCTTAGAGATTAAATGCCACTGTATGTAACCGTAGGAAAACATTTTTGAAAAGGGCTTCTACTTTCCTTTGCAAATTTATCATGAACCTGCATACATGGATTTTGGGGATTGAACCTCCTATTTTCTAACTTAATTGCATTTTCTTTTAGAAAAGCTGACTTGGATCAACAAAAAGATGCTGATGATGAGCAGACTGCATCTAATGTCAAAGTTTCTTCTCCCAAACCAACTACCTCTCTGGTGGGGCCTCAGCTTTGGGCCATCTTAGATGGCCTGCGGCTCATATTGTCATCAACGTATTTGTTGCATGTGTCATTGTTCCTCTGGTTGAGTGCAGTTGTCTCCTCTTTCTTTTATTTTCAGGTAAAGCTATTGTTTAACTCATACATGTAGGTTGAGTTTACCTACTTTGCATGCTAAATACTGCTACCAAACATTGCTATGTATTGTCTGAGACCCTGTTTTTATTTTATGTATGTTCAGGCAAAAGTACACAGTGTTTAGGAGTTTGAACACTAGAGATAGACTTTTTCTGTAAGCAAACAATTTAAAATCCGCATGGAACTTGGTTTTATAGACCATTGATGGATCTAGGATTGGCTTAACGAAACAAAAAGTAAAGTAGAATGTGATTTATGAGCTTTTCTAGAGATTGTGCCAAATTTCTGTTGGTCAGGGACTCTAAGAAGAGTGTAAAATAGACTTTAAATGGAAACAGCATGATTTCCTCCTACATTAATATATAAAAGTGTGAAGTACTTATATGCTTTTTGACTGTGTTGACCATGTTTCCTTGTTTTTTGCTAAATGTAACTAGGTTAGGGCTTCAGACTGGAGAAAATTTTGTTGCACTGGTTCTGAAATTTTAGGAAGCATTTTTTTTTTCCTTTTATACTTGCTTCAAAGTATACAATACTATGCCCATAGTGTTTAATTTGTTATGTAAGGGCCTTTCTTGTTTAGTGTGATGTGCTTTATAATTAGTGCTTGTGGTATATTTTCTCATCACTTTTACCTCACCCCTCCCTACTCATTGCAGAAAGTAAATGTAATTGCCATGACAGTTGCAAGCTCAGTTGGCAGAAGAAGATTGTTTGCCCAGATAAATAGCTTTATTGCTGTTTTCATTCTCACTGGACAACTTACCTTAACGGTATGCTATGCTTAAGATGAGTTTCTGCAGTTTGTTTTTATCTAATAGTCACTTGTCACAATAAGGAAGATAATTTTTTTTTTACATCTATGGTCTTGTGGGGTCCACGTCATTGATGGCTGCGGCATTTTCATTTATTTAATATCCTAACTTTTACCAATATTATTTTTCAACAGGGGCGCATTCTTACTGTTGCTGGGGTTACTATAGCTCTATGTTGCACTCCCTTTGTTGCTTTCTTAAATCTGGTTGCGGTTGCTATATGGCCAACTTGGAAAGTGGTTGCCCTTTCTGAGACCCTAAGAAAGGTTTGCCACCATTGACTGTCTCATTTCTGTTCCTCTATACTGTTTTGCCCTTTTTATTTAATCATTTGGAATCTATTTTGCTACTGTTATCTTTATGCTCTACTTTAGATTGCACTCTATAGGTTTATAATTGCCAAGGCAAATTTGGATAGGTTAGGAAGAGTAAAATTAATTCATTTGTATTTTACAGCAGTAGTGTAAAGTAGATATCACTCTTTGACTTTTCGTTACTTTGTAGGTGGTCAATTATGTTGTGACCAAGCCTGGAAGAGAACTTCTATTTACCGTTGTTTCCGAGGATGAGAAGTACAAAGCTAAGGTATGTAAATTTCATCCACGTGTTTTTATGTTTTCCCTTCGTTTCTTTTGAATTGATTAGGAAGCTTTAATTGATACAGGATATTTCAGACATGCAGTATGTGCCAATCTTGTGTTTAGTATTTAACTGGACTTCATTTTAGTATAGTAAACCTCTCAAGTTGAGATGAAGCACCTTAATTAGTCTTTTAGGCTATGTGTGAATAGTGTTTATTTTCAAAATGTGGCTAGATAGATGTCATTCCAAAATATGTATTCAATACTCCCTAGAATCTCTTTATTACATTCTATCCGAAAAAAGGAAAAGGAATGTCCTCTTGCATGACATGTACTTGGTTAATTAGTCTGTGAAATTCTAAACAAAAACTAATCATGGTTGCTCTGAAAACCTAATGCAGATATGCATAGATGTAATTGTCCAGCGACTTGGTGATGCTACAGCAGCAGGAATTTACAAACTACTTTTCAGCATTCTCAATGGGAGGATATCAACAGTTTCTCTATATGCACTTCCTGTACGTCTTGACAATCTTTTATCTACTTGTGTTAGCATAATTGTCTATTCAAGAAGACTCCTAATTCCTTGAACACCTATTGTTTCCTTATTCCATGATGCTATTTTTGTACTTAGCTGTTGTTTTGATAAACTAAAAAACTCCGGTACTGAAAAATTGAATTTTGAATTTTTAAGTACTAAATTTGTACTGTAAAATTGTTTTTATGCCTCTTAAATTAGGTGTTTAATAAATTTTGATTGGATTTTCTCCAAAGAAAGATATATGATTTTATAGAGATTTTATTAATAAACACAGTTAAAAAGATACTGTATAAGAATTTTTAATCACTACATAACGTGGTCTATCCATGTCTCTGTATTTATATATGTATTTACCTTCACTGTTTGTGTCCTTAACCAAGGGCAATGGAGCTTGTTTATCATTTGTCTTTTCTCCCCAGGTCTGTTTACTTTGGATAGTCACAGCATTTTACTTAGGACACCGTCAAACACAATTAGCAAAGCTGCAGATTGGGTCCTCATCTTGAAAATTTCTGAAAGATGATTCATTTCACATATCTTTGGGAGTTGAAGATGCACAGATCAAAATCCTTTCATTTATCAACATGTTTGTGAGAAGTAACATTTTCTGTGAGTTGCTTTGATGATGGCATTAGTTGAGGAGCACTGCAATACAGTCCAACTTGTATGGAGTTTCTTGTTATTCTTCTTTGTTAAGGTTAGAAAGGTTATTTCATACAGTTTAAACAGGTGTAATAGCGGCATCAGCTGGTCCATTGTTGGCTTACAAGTTTCGGACTGTTTGGCATCTTCATTTACAGTAAGAGGTTGCCGTTTCTGTGCACCGTGCAGCTAATCGACAACTACATGTTAATTTGCTTTTCCTTTGTGAATTGATAACCTTCTTTCCCAGTTTTAGTAAAATAGTGTTGCCCAAAAGTTACCAGCTTGTAAGATAAGATTCCAACAACATTAGTTACACTTTTTTCATCAAGGAAAAACAAGATTTTTAGAACTTATAGTTGACATTGGAGTTGCCTAGAAGTTTTCTACAGATGTCTGCATATATTGTACAGTTGTACCAGTTTTTGGCATTTGAAACATTTGAAATGCAATTGTCGAGAGCCGGTTGGCTGAATCTTATCTTGTAATACCCAAGGTGTGAATTCTGAAACTAGCAATTCAGTTTCAATGTAATGCAAAAAATTGATGGTATAACAGTTATGTTAGTCTTTCAACTCAAGTTGCAAAGAATTTTGTTTGATGTTGTCTGGTACATTTGTCCACATTTTGCATATGCTCAAATTGCATATATATTATTATTCATCATAATCAGACTCTGTGGCACTGTAACAAGTATATTACTACCTTATTCTGTCTAATCTCAACTGCAAATTAAAATGAAGTTATCCTCTCTTGGAATGACCATAGATACATATACCAGAGACTTGAGTACAGCTATAAGTTTTAAGGTTATCCTTCAAGGTGTCCTGTTTGCAAGCTACCTACTTCTAAACATATTGTTCCTCATTGTTACATTACTTTGTCTCCAATCTGTTAAAAGCATGCGTTGTTTCTAAGTATGGATGATATTTATTGGTACACTATATGTAAGCTGAGCAGCCAGAGTGGTCATTCAAGTTTCGAACCTAAACTTTGGCTTACATAGCTTGGTCAGGATCATATAAATCATACTTTCGAGTATGGAAAACACCATGTGTTCTTGTTTCCTTTCTATGGTTTTTTATTTATGGTGCATCAGCTGGTTGAATTATTGAGGCTAAAAGGCCTAGCAATTACCAACCAAATTATGACAAATAGTTACTATGGAAATTGTATTCTTCTGTAAATGATGACAGAGAAAAACCAAATTATGGATGCATTGACCTAGTAATTTACTGATCAGTCAGGAAAGTAGTCCTTGGAGAGAGATCTGCTTCAACATCCCGCAAGCAATGCCCAATATTTTGGAATTTAGCTGCCCTGCACTTTCGAATTGGCTTTAATACAACAAATACTTACTGAGATAATCAGGTTCTGCGGAGGGAACGAACACGGTCTTGAACCAACTTCCTCTCCCAATCTGCTATTCCCTCAAAAGCATGTTCAGGAAGACTTTCAAATGGCTCCTTCCATGGATCATTTTTAGCCAGATCATAGGTGGCTCCACGTATCGCTCTTTTATTAGGTCCACAAGGTCTCTTTGAAGTCAGTGCATCATATGCCGTATTTAGCTGACAATTTTAACAAATATTGAGCATCGACACTTTATACGCACTGAAATATGTAACTAAGATAAGACAATTATGCAGTATAGAAGAGTTAAGGACTCACATTCATGTCTCCGAACCAGAACATGTAGGCAATAGCCACTGCAGGAGCTCTTCCTAACCCGGCTGTGCAATGCACATATACTTTTCCTTTTCCCTCAGAAATGGCCCATTCCAATGAAGAAACACCTCTAGGTAATTCATTCCGCAAGGAATCTGGATCAAAGTCTCTTGCCTACCAATGCATAAGATTAATGTGTTAAGTCAGGCATCCAAAAGCATCAAACTTCCTTTCAAGTAATCATGCAATCCATTCATTTATTCTTCGCTGATACACAAAGAGGAACTGTCATTTCCTTATAACATGTTTTTCAACTAGCATCAAAGATTAATTGTTTATTCTGAACAAACTGGCCAGCCTTTTCCTTGAAGTCCTTCAAATTTGATTGTGGAGTTATCCCTGAATGAATAATTTATAAATCCAAGTGGAGAAAGTTTTCCTTACAGGCCTTCTCATATGACGAATTTCCAGTTGTCCACATCTTTTTATTATGGACTGCAAGTCAATCCCCCAATACTCGATGTCCTTGTCCTGCTGCAAGTTCAAAATATAGGCCACATTCTCTTCGTGTTTCAGATGATCTATATCTTCAGGTTTCTGGGGCTGAGAGCCCACAATCAAATTGTCAGTTATCATTGTGTAGTTCATGCCTGAAAACAGGACATGAATAATCAGATTCTCAGAATAATTAAGCAATATGACTTAACACATCTTTTATTTTTCTTTTCCTTATAAGGAGATTATATCGGAAGTACTTGTGATCATGAACACTAACACTGAGGGTAGCCATACAGCAAACCCACTTTCAGTGCCTCATGTTTAATATTGTGGAACAAGAGGAGGTCCTATTCTCGATGAAGTGAGGAAGTGTAGAAGTGGACTTAGGAATACAAAATGTATGCCAAATGCAGAACCAGTTCCAAAAATACCAGATGCGATATACCAGATAGATGTTACTTGGAAGATTTATGTCATAGAGATCCAAGCCGATCTGTCAAAGTTAATCAATTTTTGACCAACAAAAAAGTCCACATAAGACAAGTTTACTGAGACAAAGGGAGTATCAAACTTGCAAGTCTCTGGTAAAGCAAACAAGTTAGGAGTCCCTTTAGACAGAAGTTGCAAAAGAATGGATTGGCACAAACCTGTGCAGTTTCAGCATACTTGTCTAAACAATGTCTTGTCACTTACAGTGCAGTTTTGAATTGGTTGTCTTATATACCAAATTCATGATGTCTATCCCCAGAGTTTACTCTTCCAGGGCTCTAAGTCAAGAAGTCGCTAATTCTATGGTTGTGAGTCCTTACTATTCCAAGACATCACGGAGCTTGTGCTGCAGTATTCGATACTGATAGCAAGGCAAGCAACACCATGGATTGGGGATTCAGAGTTTGGATGGCACAAAGCAATCTTAAGCAAGAAAATTTTGTAGTCATTTTATTAAAGGTTGGGCTGGAAAGGGTGGGATTATCCCATCTAAGAGGGAGACAAAGTAAAAGTTAATGCACAGAAGATGGATCACATGTCATCCCAGAAAGAAGATAAAGTTCCATGCTTCAATTAAATATTTTAATCAATACCCTTTACTTGTAAACAGTATAATTTACTTAAAAAGTTACAAAGTCACATCATACAACACAATCCAAAGTCAGAAAAGTATACTTAATGAATCTAGATCCAGATTTCTCTAATTAAAATATTTCATCCTCCTTTCTCCCATAAAGTAGCTGCAATAGTTTAAGGTCCTTACAATAATGGCCATTACAGTAACAGATTAGCACAGGGTTTTTTACAGAAAAAGGAAAAGAACTGAAAAAAAGGAACTTACAGAAACCGAAATCTGGTATCAAATTGATTAACCAAACTATTGAATGCAAATGGAAATGTAAGAGATGGGGGAAATAGAAAAAAAAAAAAAAAACCTAACCAAGATCGTGATGATACTCGTATGGATTCCTCATCATCCTCTTCATGGCTGTGTTATACTCTTCCATCCTGTTCTTGGACCTGACAGTGTTTGTGGGGTTGCCACCAATTCCACTTTCAGAAACCTTGCAGAAAATCCCAGTGCAACCACCATTAAACTGGTTCCTGGGGAGCATGAAACTGAACCTAGATTTCTTCTTTGCAGACAAAAGTTCAGGTTTATGTTGGTTTTGGAACACTGAAGAGAAGCAACTGGTGCTGTTTATGCCACTCATAATTTTTCTTGCACCTGGTTGTACTCGTGTTCCTGTTGCTTAGATTTCGGGTTGTCAGATTTTATAGTTTTAGAGGACTACTTGACTGTATTGCCCTTTCCGTCTACTCTGCCTAGAACTCACTTACCGTCCCTTGTTTGCGGGACCAAATTACAGAAATTTGATGCAAACCTGAAAAACTAGATGCCAAGATTTTCTTGGTCGAATCTAGAATCTGCCATGCAAGTAGGGTCATTGTTGGTCTCACCATGTTATAATTTTATGTGGTTTCAATCATTGCAAGGAAATTCTGATAAAAGGGTTAAACAGGATCAGTTAAATAAGTTAATACAAGACATGTTTTGTCCAATTAAACACGATTATATAAAAATCAAAATCGATTTATCTCCATCAATTTGATTGATTATTTTAATATGCATAAAAAGTATATTTATAACATAATAATAATATTAATGATCGATTTCTCAATTGATTTAATTATAAATTTTAAGTACCAAAATTTCATCGAAATAACCAAAGAAATTAACTAGAATCGACAGAATTTAATCAATTTTATTTAAATTGATTGATGAATTATATACTATGCACTTTAACAAGCAAGAAATCAAGAGCATTCTGAAGCAAGTTGTGTAGAGTTCCATATACAGACTTCTAAATTGAGCTCCCCAGAGGGACCAAGGAATCGAAAAGGGATTAGGAGGAAATCCATGGGAGGAAAACCTTCTACTCGTCCTGGAAAATTCTCTGTCAATGATTTAAGTCTGAGAGAGCTAATTCCTTTTCCAGATACAACATCATACAAAAATTTTTCCTTAGATGAGCCTGGGGCAACACAAGTTATCATGACCATATTCCCAATGCTTTCAACACCCTTGTAGAGGATGAAGAGAATGCCATCCTCCTCGGCTTGGAGAACAAGGAACTGCTCGTTCATCCCCAAAGTGACAGGCAATGGGATCTTGTACCTAAAACGCCTTCTGGAATCCCAATGTTTGCTACTGAAGTGTAGTGACAGTTGTTCGGATGACCCAATGAAATTGCAATTTGGAAGCGGGCATGCACATGGTGCGAAAATGCAGTTTTCTTCATGATCATCATTCCTTGTGTAATCCACTGTTTCACTGCACCCGTATTCTTTGTTCCGGCATGGTGTTCTACCCGGTTCAACAATCACCTCCATGTCCCCACACATCATACTCTTACTCCTTGGGAAATTTGCCACATTTGCCTGTAGAAACATGTCAACAGGAATTAAGTAATAACACGTCAAACAGTCATAATTTTATGAAACTGGACAGCTCATAACTTCCACTTGAGAGGTGGTTTCTGTTGATTAAAAGAAAAGTTTATTACCTTGTAGATTTAAATTTAACATTTGAAACATGTCCAACTAGTTTTCGCAGACGAAATCTTTAACTGATTCATCCACTTATATCATATCCTCCACGTTTAAGCATACTAAATCAGTTTCACCATTTTGAGGAGACAGTGGGAGAGATACAGGAAGAAGGGAGCTTCTTGATCACATTTGAATGCTATATGAAATTATATAATAGATGGCATGTCATCTTTAGAGTTTTATAAATTTTGGTAGCAGAACATCTTTGGGACAACCATGGGACAAGAAAAGCAATGATGAACAAATGACAAAATGCAGTACAGGCTAAAGTGAACAATCTGCTACGAAATCTAGGAATCACCAAAGTGAAGCAGCTTTATGGAAAGAACTATTACCTCCTCCATACTAAAATCACTGTTCATTTGTTCTTCGTCAGCCTACAAAATCAACAAGCAGAAAGAAGATCTGTGAGTCGAGAATAATCCCTTTCATCTAAACACAAGTTAATCGTCACATTTAAGTCATCTATTAATTCAAGTGTTTACTTATGCTAAGAATTGCTTTATGTCAACTGTCTTAGCTAAGGCAGGGCTTCTTCAAGCTCACAGATGCAGGCAAACTATCCAAGATTTCATTACAAAGCTCATCTCACCCTAAGCCAAGCTTGAGAAAGGTCCATGCTTTAGCTTTCAGAGGCTCACAAACAAGAGAATTTGTAATTTAATAGTAACTTCTTTGGACACTTGCTTCAAAAGTTCCCCATCACATTAGATTCTTGAGACTTATGATGTTCGTAACCAGTCAGAAACAGAGATCGTTGTGGATTCAAAAATACATTTCACAGCCAAAACATGTCAAGGAAATCCCAAGGAAAATATCTATTAGTTAATTCTCGTTTCTGGTTGAGCATTCACTTGAAAATGAGTTGTCCAAGCAGGCCTAGCAACTTGAATAGGAACTATAGAAATATTCCTTCAACACAATAAAATAGGAAGACAATAAATTTAGTTTTAAAACAGCATGAATCATGATTTCACCAAAAGTCTTAAAACTAATCAAGACTAAAGAATACTTGAAATAACTCATATATTTGAAAATATTTCCAAGACTTAAACCTAAGAACTTTTCATGCTAAAAACAGATAAATAATGCTTATATGACCATATAAGTTATAACACATACATAACGTTATAAAGTCATAATAAAGAATCCCACCAATTAAAAACAACATATAATGTAAAGCAAAGGGCTTATGATACAGTTTACCATGCATAATCTTTGGCAGAACATTTCAGCGTAATAAATAGAAGTCATTTATCCAACAACAAAATACTACCAAGAAACACCTTGATAATTAAATAAACTTATATATAAAATCTACAAGTTTGTGCCTAAATTTCTAAACATTTTATATCTATCACCATATTGTTTTCAATGTATGATTTACAATGTTATCCAAGTACAATAAACTCATATCGCATCCTAATTACCTGCAAAGGATACTTTTCAACAAAAGTCAAGGAAAGGTTTTAAAAGATTTTATGAAATTTATCAGTACATTAATATTCATCATATACTACCTGGATCCCCTCCTGCTCAAAGATGGGATTATGCTCAATGCTGGTGCTCATTTTGCCTCCTGACAGGCCTTCCACTTGGACTCTATATTCTAGCAATTCCATACGAAGACAACTATCCTTGCTAGTAACCTGCAGAGCAGAAAACTTGATAAGTTCATAGAAATTGCATGTCTGATGCACAAAGAATGTAATTGTACCTCTCCACGACCATAACCACCGAGTTCTCTTTCTCGCTTTTCTCTTTCAGTGATCTCTTCCTCCCCCCATGAAGATAGGCAAGGAACAACCATAGGTGCAGAAGAACCAGCTCCATCAACAGAGATGCTCTCATAATAAAACAGCTGAGAAGCAATAAAAATTTAGTGATAATTTTGGTTTAAAACTATAAAAGAAAAGCCAGAGCATTTCTATGTCAACCTGGAGAAAAAGAAGGCATCCACCAACTGCACGCTGCTTTCCTTGACGAAAACGTGATACCTCCCGAACTAGCCGGTCAAGCAAGAACTTTCCCCAATTATACTGGTGCACAACATCCATATTAATTAAAAAGTGGAGGAATGAGGGGCTAACATCCAGTCTTGCTGTTGGAGATAAAAGTGTACCCAGTGAATAAAGGATAAATGATCTCCTAAAATCCTCTCCTGCTTCTGGAGCTGCCAACCGTTCCTCTAGAAGTCGCACTGATATCCCACGATTAGTAGCGCTATAACTTTGGCGTAAGTCTGCAATCAAGTCATCAGGCCCTGAGTTCACCACATCCTTCCCACAAGCTGCTAGTCCCATCACATGCTCTACATCTCTTGGGGATAAAGGAATGCGCTCCCCACATATCTCCAAGCTGCGTCGTACAGTGTTAAACCTCTCCAACAACCAAAGGCACAAACTGCGACGTAGAGTGCGACATCTCAAACCAAGTAGACTACCAAATCCCATGCTCTTCACTGCAGCCTTTTGCTCGGGTGTGAGCCGCTGTAGCACATTGAATAAGCGGCCTGGAGAGCATCTCGTGACTAATTTAGTCTGCATTGCATAATCATAAAATTTGTTGGATGAACAGTAAGTTGAATTGCAAGCACCAAAAGTAAATGCTACCTGCTTCCTGGGCTTAGGGATGCGGGCTGGAGCTGTACTCAAGTAGCTATCCCACACTTCACGAGCCCGTCGAGTATATTTTTCTTTCTCCTCAGTGCTCATTAACTTCCAAGCATCTGATGCAGCCTTTGTGGCCTAGCAGCAAAATATGAAAACCGAAAAAGAACTATTATATCTACTTATTGTTGTTGCAATTCATCATAGAGTAACAGAGGCATTGTCAACTGATTAAAGGAGAACCAGAATACTCACAGCTTTAAGGCCTGAGGATTCAGGATGAGAAGCACTATATTCCTTGATAAACTCCCGGCTAAAATATTCGAATTTACTTGTTAGTATACTAGCAACAACCTGAAAACAAATACGTTTAGGAAACCCTGCATTGAAATACACCAAATTCTACCTAAAATAAACCCATGAACACGCAGGACGAGTAGAAACTTGCTTCTTTTTCTTCTTTTTCCTCTGCCCCTCTGACACAACATTCTCTTCATCATTTATACTCATGATTGTTTCATCTCCTTCATTAGGACCCTGTATTCACAAGAAAATGTAAGAAATAAACCCCTAAAAGGGAAAAAAAAAAAGACAAAACAAAACTATATGTATTTACTATTTTCACCAATATAAATGAAAACCCATATATAAAATCAAAAACCCAAATCAAGATTAAAATGCTTTTCTAGCTAGAACTACTAATCCTCCAATTATTCACCCAATACCTATGAAATTAAAGAGAAAAATGGGGAAACCCAACCTGAAATGCTGGGATGGTAGAACAATCACCAGCTTCTGGGTCAGTTAGACTCATGGATCCTTCGCCTCCTCCTTCGAACAGTTTCCTTAAGTTTAATTAGTTTTGTTGGGAGATTAAGATCTCCAACAATGGTGTTTGTCTTGGATAATAATCCAATGTGGATATTTAATTAAAACGCTTTTTAAATATCCATTTCAATTAAAAATAATTCTTTTTAAGTGTGCCACGTGTCCATTGCTTGGGATGATTCTATGCCTGGGGTCCAAACGATGCCGTATGGCCGTCTAGAGTAACTATGTAAGAGGCGCTGCGAAATCAGAACGTGCGAAAGAGGAGGCGAACAACAGCGACGTATCAGAAAAGGAGAGAAGCAGGGTTAAGGGTTGCCGGCCGGCCGGCCATACCTGCGGTGGTTGTCATTTTGAGACTTAGGCAATTCTTTTGTTTTCCTTTGTTTTCTAATTTTCAGTCATTTTTCTTCTTATGTGACAACTCTGTTTCCATCGTTTTCAATTAGCTTTATTTGTTACATTGTATGATGTTGTCTACGGGACCTTGTCAAGTGATTCTTTTCCTTCTTTGTTGTTGTTCTATGCTGGAACTTGATTAGAATTTTTTAACCATGCATTTTTATAATTCATATTAATTAACTGTTATCTCCTTAATGTAGTACTATCAAGTAACAGTTGAAATCTTGGCATCGAAAGTTATGGATCCTTCTCTCGAGGTCAAACTCCCTCTGGTTACTGCTGAAGAGATCCTCCTGGAATCTCGAGAGCAGCAGGAAGCAGAAATCCGAGCACCAAAACAAAAGCTTACAGACTCAATAGAACTCTTTGAGTATCATCTCCTCAATTTTGAAGACGACATTACCCGTGAAAGCTGGAACATCAGCTCCTGGATCAACTATGCCAAATGGCTCGAGTCCCTAAAGGAATTCATGGTAGCACGAATCGTGTGGCATCGCGATCTGATAGTTAATGATCAGAACTGCTCTCTTTGGCTCAAGTACGCTGAATTTGAGATGAAGAACAAATTCTTCAACCACGCAAGGGATGCTTGGGACCGTGCCGTCACGGTTCTCCCACACGTGGACCAGCTCTGGTACAAGTACATGCACATGGAAGAGATGTTAGGGAACATTGGTAAGGCTCGCCAGATTTTTGAACGCTGGATGTCTTGGATGCCAGACCAACATGTCTGGCTTTCTTACATCGATTTCGAGCTTCGCTGCAACGAAGTTGTTTATGCTCGTTTAATTTACGAACGGTTCGTTCAGTGCCACCCCAAAGTTGGAGCTTGGATTGAATATGCCAAATTTGAAATGAGAAATAGGGAGATTGTACGAGCAAGGAATGTTTATGAGCAGGCGGCGGAGAAGCTGGCAGATGAAGAAGATGTGGAGCTGTTGTTTATTGCCTGTGCTGAGTTTGAGGAACAGTGTAAGGAAACAGAACGAGCTCGTTGTATATACAAGTCTGCTCTTGATCATATACCAAAAGGGAGGGCGGAGAATTTGTATTGAAAATTTGTGACTTTTGAGAAGCAATATGAAGATAAGGAAGGGATTGAGGATGCCATTGGAGGGAAGAGGAGGAGGATGAAGTGAGGAAGAATCCGCTGAATTATGATGGTGGTGTGGTCAGGTATGTGACTCACCATTTACTTGTTCCAGTTGCTTGGATCCATCATGTTACTGTCTTGCTGCAGCTTCAGTTGTTTGGTTTTTTGAATCAAGCAATTAGGGACTGTGGGGCTAAAACCACTGGGCATGCAAGTCAATATAGTTTCTCATGTTCCATAGTCCCATAAATTTTGGGGCTCGTTTTTCCCTAGTTGTTCCTTAAATCCTCATAGAGGTGTTTTGCCTCTTACCATAAAGGGTCTGTCTGCTGGTGTGCCCTATTGGCAAGTTTTCATTTCCGCATTTTCATTCAATATGTTCTTTTTCAACGAACAGATGCATTTACAATGTTACCATATTTGTGTTTTCCTTGGGTACTAATGTTGAATTATTTGGGTTCGTAGGTATGAGGACTACATTGATTATGTATTCCCTGAAGAAAACCAGACCATGAATCTCAAGATTTTGGAAGCTGCCTGCAAGTGGAAAAAGCACAGGATCTCTTCTGATGAGGATTTGGAAGACATTTTGTTTTAGCTTTCTCGTAGCCCTTGCAAACGTAAATACAAGCATGCCAGCTTAGCTGTGTTATCCTTTTGTGCATGCATTCAGTTGTGCATGCTTTTTAAGGGAAGAAGTCTCTTGACAAATACAATTTGTTGGAGGTAGGAATCACAGTTCCTTGCTTTAACAACTCCTCTTAATTGATTTTAGTGATTGATATACAAGTCTTTTGGCCAAAAAAGCCTTAAATAGGACTTCAACTCTATTTGCTATTGGAACTTGGAACATAAACGAAGCATGTTCAAGGGGAAAAAGTAAAACCAAAACAAGGCAACCAATGGAAACAATGACCCCAAAAGGAAGCAGTTAATAGTATCATCTCTTTGCAAACAAGTCACTTGTCTATGGATCCTGTAAGCAGAAGAAACATCACCCCATTTTCTATCTGTATACATTTTCGCTTAACAAAGTTGTTTTTATTGTGTTTATGTAATGGGTTCTACTTCAATTTAGTTATTGTTTACTTAGCTTTGCTTTGTGAGCAGCTAACACTCCCTTGTGAGAAGCTCTAGTTTCTGTGCTTATATCAAGTTTTCATATAAGGTTGCACGTGCGTATTTATTAAATTATAATATATATATATATATACCGAAAATATATTGTAATAACTATAAGCTAAGATCTAATAAAGAGAAGAGAAAATGCTTTTATATTTATATATAAAGAAGTTTCGCATGGTGTGTCAGGCCTCATACTAGCAAACTAGAATGCGATAAAGATCACAAATAGTAACCTTATCATCCGATTCGACGAAGTATTTCTCAGTGCAAAGAGGCTGCAGTGACTGCAACAACAATTTAAATGAAGAAACAAATTAAATTTGATGCGTTAAAACTGGTATCTTCTGCTTCCAATTTGAAGCGGTGAAGAACATCCTAAAGGTGTTAAACTAGCATGCATGGAAAGCAGCAACTCAAATGGCAGAGAGAGAAATAAGCGTGCATGGGAGATTGATTCGATTCCGACACACAATACAAGAGGTGAAGCTGCCTGTACTTGTAAACAGGACTCAGGCTGAACGTACGCACCGTTTTGATGCAAAGGCAAAGGCCAAGCAACGCAGCGTTTCAACATTTAAAACAAGAATGTTACCTTTATATAAATTTTTTTTTTTCTCTTATTCAAAAAAAGTCTTTCTAACTTACTGTTTGCCTCGATCGAGTCTGGCATTCCACGGCCGGATCCGGCAGCGGGGTGGCTGGTCAGTTTAAGGGAGAAAAAAAATGGTATTGCTTTGATAAAAAGTATTTACCATAAGGGGTACCTAATCCAATCATTATTCATGAATTTGAATCATGCATATATGTGTTAAGTATTGCTCTCTTACTCTCATGATTCTCTCGAGTATCTGGATAGAGATTGTCATCTATAATATTGAATAGCTTCAACTTTTAGTCAATGTTTTTTGTCTAATGGTTCGCACACACACCACACACTTTCTCCTTTCATTTACTTATTTATAGCACAAACCGCTCCAAGTCCCAACAGGCTGTGTCATAAGTTGGTAATTTACATCTTTTTTCATTTGATTTGAAGGTTGTGGTGTTAGGAGGAGGATCTTTTGGCACTGCAATGGCTGCACATGTTGCCAATAGAAAGACTCAAATGGAAGTTAGCATGCTTGTACAAGATCCTGCAGTTTGCCAATCCATTAATGAGAACCATTGTAATTGGTGGGGTTTCCTTTATTTTTTCCATTCTCTTGAATTATGTCCCTCTTTACAATTATACGATGATGTTACTTATGGAGTTTAATTGACCTTGGAACATTATCTACCTTCACTGTTCTAAGTACATACTTCCCTGAACACAAGCAACCAGAAAATGTGATTGCAACTGCTGATGCCAGAACTGCTTTGCTTGGGGCAGATCATTGCCTTCATGCTGTACTTGCGCAGGTCTTCCAAGTTGTTTTATTTTATATTTTGATGATTCTTGCACTCAAAAATGTGATTTATTTTTCCTTTCTGTTAAATTTTGCGCTTACTTGTTTTGTAAATCTTTCAAGAAATA